ATTTGCTCGGTATTGCTAGGGATTTGCTTGGTATTGCTAGGTATTTGCTCGGTATTGCTAGAAAAAACTAGGTACAACTCGGTACAACTCAGTATTTGCTCAAGATTTGCTCGGAATTGTTAGGGATTTGCTCGGTATTGCTAGGTATTTGCTCGGTATTGCTAGAAAAAACTAGGTACAACTCGGTATTTGCTCGGTATTGCTAGAAAAAACTAGGTACAACTCGGTATTTGCTCGGTAGTGCTAGAAAAAACTAGGTACAACTCGGTATTTGCTCGGTATTGCTAGGTATTTGAAATATATCCAAAAGGTGATGGGATGTTGTTCGGCTCGTCAAGGATTTAAAAAAACGCACGTGCGAGAACCCAAAAAACAGCTGGTCGGGTCAGCGACTTTTCTTCATGCTACGTGGTGCTAAAACATTGGTGACCGAACGTAGAGGAGCGTACGTTCACTGGACCGAATAAAAATTCCTACAAATCACAGACCTTTTCCTCCTTAGATCCATTTTGGTATTAGGATCTCCCGAGCCAATTATGTCTGCAGACCATCGTTAAGATTTTGTTTTTTTTTTTTTTTGGTTTTTTAAAGAAAAAAAAGTTTTCATTATGATCAAAATTATATATATTGGGAACGTTAAAATATTTTTCAAATTTGAGCACTTGAATTCACGAGTTCCTTGTGGGCATAATGGAATATTGCATCTAAAATAAAATCAATTATTCTAATTGAACATTATTTCATTTTTAATGACAAAATTATACTTACAAAATTTTGTATTAAAATGAGCTTTCAAAATTTTGATTATATTTTAATTGAATAAATATTATTTATACATTAAACAAATCTCAAAAAAAAAAAAAAAAAAAAGACATGCACTAATTCAAATTCTTTTTATTTTGCTAAAAATATTTTGTCTAATAAAAAATTAATTATGTTTTAAAATATAGTTTGATATAGAAAAAATTGGGTAGGAATATCTTTGCCTAACCTAACCCTAAATGCCCTTAAATTTATGCTAGAATTAGGGTCTGTTTGGGATGACACCAGCTTTATGTATGCGTGATTGTAAATTTGTTGTGACGAAAATATTTTTTTTTGAAAGTTGCTATAGAAAAATAACTTTCTAATAAAAATACTTCTTAAAAGCTTTGAAAAATAATATTTATATATAAACTATGATTACTATCTAAAAAGCGGTAAGAAAATTGCCCCAAATAAAACTTTAGTATAGTTCATAATATCAAATGCATTCTGACACATTGACCAAACTTTAGTGTAAATATTAACTTTCCCATAAATTCAAGAGTATTTGAATTCATTATGACATAATAAAATATTGCAACTATGTTTTTATTGCTTAAAAAAAATTTACTAAAAAAAAGTTAAAAATTGTCCTAAATGAAACCTAAATGACCATTTTACCCTAACTTTTATCTATTTATTGGTGAACCATAAGGAAAGGCAAATAAATTTTTTTTTTTTAACAAAATTCAGATAACTTCTAAGATAAAATCGAATTATCCTTTGCCAACAATACTCCAATTCCTCATTTGCAGCTTAAGAAGCCGACACGCCAAATCATTCACGTTGATCTAAAGACAACACGTGCCCATCCGGCTCCTAAATCCCCCAAAACAACGCAACGCGTCTCCCTTCCCTTCCCTTCCTTCTCTAAGCTTCCTCTTCCCCCTTCATTACGCAATCCATGCCAGGTCGTTTTTACCAGCCTCCGCTTCTCTCCCTCCTCTCTCCCATTAATCCATCTCCTTCGCCTCCCCTAACTATTGCATGGACCTTTTGTCCTCCAAATCCGAAGAGAAATCCTTCTCCAATCTCTTCACCAACAAATGGCAGTTCGATACGGCCTTCCCTTCCCTCAAACCAGCCGTGGACACTGAACTCCTTCAGAACTGCGATCTTCCTCCTCCTCTCAAGCGTTTCTCTCCCGAGCAATCTTTGTATGATTAGACATTTTAGTATCACCCATCAGTTTTTAATTAACTTCTAATCAGTCATTTTGTTTGTTGATTGTTATATTAAATATGAAACAGGTTGGGCGTTTATGGTTATAGCAACAAGCAAAGCTTGTTAATGGCGGCTCTGCAGCGGTCGCAGAGTCGGGCAAGAGAGGCGGAGAGGAAGGAGAAGCTGGCGATTATGAGGAGCGGGAAGTTGGGGGCAATGTTGTTGGAGGAGTCCATGAAGTTGCTTGTGATGCGGCGGTGGGCTATGCTGCTCGAGCTAGAGATTGCGGTGCTCCGGCGAGAGGAGTGGCGTGGTTTGGGGGATGATAAGGCGGCGATGGCAGCGAAGGAGGAGGAGGAAGGGCAGGTTAGGGCCGTTGGCACCAAATGGTGCTTAGTGGTTGCGCTTTGCATTGGTATTGTTGGGGCAGGATATTTGTTTGGTGGATGCTGTTTTTAATTAATTTGACGGCTTGTTTTAATGCAAACAAGTCGATATCATAGAAGAAAAATTATATTCAAAGATATTATAAGCTATTTTTTATAATGCTCGATATCTCATAAAAATTATCTTTCATGGAGTACGAATCTTGATGAATATTTGAATTACGAATTTTAAAATTATATTCAAGACTATTTGAACTCTGATTTCAAGAAACTTATAAGTAAATTTGATATATCATTAAAAATTAAAAATGATCGGACACGAATCTCAAGGCAAAACAAGTTGGGAACTTTTGAAATTAAATCTGGAATCATATGAACTCTAATTTCAACAAACTTATAGTTGAACTGAATTTCTCGAAAAGACAAATCCAAGAACACCAAATTCAACTCAATCGGAGCCCAAATGGGTCCAAATCAAATAATCAAAGCACCATTGAAGATTCAAATCATATTCTGGATTACCAAACAAATTTCAAAAGTAACATGCTTATACTCGAATTGAGCGGCTCAACGAGACGAATCCAACGAGCCCAAGATCACTGAATTCTGATATCATTAAGGCATTCTAAAACCACGTAAACGGTCCACGATTAAGGGGATCAATATCGACCATCCATTCAAACTATTACCAATGTATCTTGATCTCCCTCCCATTTATTGGCCATGACACTCAAAAAAATTATAAATATACCCCTCATTCTTCATTAAGAGAAGTCCCAAGCAAAGAAGAGAAAGAAGAGAGAGAAATAAGAATTATCTTGCCACCAGATTCCTCCTCGACCATCGTCTATCGTCGGACAATTGTCAGACTTCCACCCGACCACTAACTGATGCTGGACTTCCGCCCGACCACCGATTAACACCGAACTACCGCCTGACAACCAACTACGTTGGACTTCCATCCAACCACCCGCTGTCGCCTGTTTACCGCCCGACCGCCCACTAATGTTGGATTTTTGCCCGACCACTGAACGTCACCGAATTTTCATATGATCTCCATTCATCACTATATTTCAACCCGACGGTTGACTGTTGTAATATGTTCATCCTCATTAGTGAAATCTATTCAACTGGGCGTGGCCCCGTGAATTTTCAAGGACGAACTAGTCATTTGTAATATATTCAAACACTAGTGAAATCATTTCAACTGGGCGTGGCCCCGTGATTTTTCCCTTCAGAGTTTTCCACATAAAAATTTATGATGTTTCTTTTTCTTTTTCTGTGTGCTGGATACTCGTGCAATGCTAATACGTAAAATTTTTTGCACTTAACCTTCGCGAATATTCTTGCCCGCAACAAAACAAAATTTTTTTGATGAGATGAATCAAATGATACTAAAAGGGATCTATCCTAATTTGAATTGAGCATATATCAAGCATTTGAAGTATAATTAGAAACTTCAAAATATTAATTGGAGGGACAAATGACTTCTAAATTTAACATGCTTATAATAAAATCTAGTGTCTCGATGTGATTAATTCAATGAACTCAAGATCACTTAATTTTAATATCATTAAGACATTTAAATTCTGAATATATGGTTTATGCTCAAGGCAATCAATATAGGTCGTTCAATGGAGTGTTTTGAAATTTGATTATATTTTATAGGCCATGTCACCCTTGAATAATATAAAACTAGGCTTTCACTCTTTACGGAAGGGGGAGGGGGGAGCTAGAGCTTGGTTGAGCTTAAGATTCAAGAAAGCTCAGAGGAATTTAGTGCGATGAGTACTTGTACAGTAATTGAACTAGTTTTAGTTATTTGATTTAGATCTTGTAAGATTTGCATTTTTATTTAGGATATAATTCATCCCCTTAGGAGCCGTGAAGTTTTCTCGCTAGGCAAAATATTTTATATAAATATCTAAATTCACTTTCAAAATTCATTTCTCATTTAATTTCATTCCTTTGATTGTAGAAGAGGAGAAGAAAAGTAAAAGAGAAAGGAAAACAAATAATCAAGCTTGGATTTAGAGGTCTTAGAGCAGATTTCCTCCGTTAGGCCAGTTGGCAATATTATTGAGTTTAAGATAAGCTACCATCATCATACTTAGGCTTCGTTTGGGACTGATGTCTTATGGCTTCTTAAAGTAGCTTTTTAGTACAAAATTTTTAATTTGTGTACTAAAAAACTGCTTTAAGAAGCTGTAAGAAAGCCGTCCCAAACGAAGCCTTAATATTTCAATTTAGTGGCTCGTGTGAACTTTTAGTATTTTATTTGGTTAAATTTCTTACAAACTCATATTTATGAAAATTGAGAAACTTTTCATCATATAATTTTTAATATGTTATAGAATAAAACATTTTACTTATATTAATATGTTCCTATTATAAAATGGAAGAATTATCCGAGCATGTCTTTATATTATATTAATATTAAAAAATTTATTAATTTTTAAATATATTTTAATATAAATTATATTAAGATATCATAATACATTTTTATTCTTATAAAAACATTGATTATTATTATGCTTCTTTAATGAAAAGTTTAATTAATATCATTCTCATCGGGTTGTTACTATAATGGATAATTTGTCAATATTGCATCCTTTTAAAGGGTGTTTATATTCTAATTTCTTTTACTTTTGCTTAATTTGACTTAAGAAAACAACAGATCATGAACAGAGGAAATTGAAGGTTTGCTACCAATTATGATATTCTCACATTTTTTTAGTGAGGATGAGCTTTAAAATCTTGAATTTATGCTGATATTAGTTAGTGAAACTATTGGATATCATATGTAGTATTAATCTTTAGTAAGTTTGGAGTCCATCCTGACACAAAACATAACCAAATAGCAGGATAGCAACAATAGAATACATCTCCCATAAAATATTTACTTGCACTACTACAAAACGTGATTTTTTGCAGTACTTGTTATAGGCAGTTTGAAAACTGATGTCAAAACTAGGTATTAGCATCGGTTTTAACCCGTGCAAAAATTACCGATTTTAACTGATGCTATTGCTAAAACCTACCCTCTTATGCTGGTTGGACTCTCGCGACTCGCGATCATTCTCCTTTTTCACTTTCGATCCCAACCCCTACGCATTGCAATTAGAGCGGTCGTGTAGTTGTCCTAAAACCGATGCAAGGAAAAAAGTAGCAGTTATAACCGCTGATATAGGTTGAAATTTGTGTTGCGATAGCTTTATTTTTTGACAGTATTGCTAGGACGCCCTAAAGTTTAATAAGCAAGAATTAAGTTCTGAGCAGACCCCTAAGACTCCACCATTAAACTATATTTGAAAACCTTTTGCTCCCTCAAAAATTTAGTGTAGATTATTATGAATTCATAAACTCCATTCAATCAAGTTAGATTAGCTGCGACAAGCTTGTGGGTGACAACCAGCAATGGATGACACCCTTAATGACGGTTTGTGTGTCCATTTAGCTTATTGTTTGCATATAAGCTATTATTTGACTCAATAAACAACGCAAAATTTTCTCGTTTGTTGGCTAATGATAGCTCTTAGCTAACTTCAGATTGTAGCCATTCAAGATTTGTGATGGAATGTTAAATGTAATTGAGAAAGAGTGGCCCAAAGATGTGAGCTATAAAAATTCATATGTGATCAGTCAAATATTTTATACAAAAATTTGAATTTTAAAGCTTTATGAAGGAGATCGAAGTAACCATCAATTCCCTTCAAAGATCAATTCCAAGTTACAATGAAATCCGAATGACAGAAATGTAATGTCAAAAGTAACATCTCATTGAAAAGATTCCATTGATGTCAAGATCTAATAACTTGGATGACTAATGGGACCATCAATTAAGGGTGCAATCGAGTCAAGCCAGCTCGGACTCAACTCGGTAATTGGCTCGACGAGTCGAGCTTATCAAGCTCGCAAGTCGAGCTCGAACAAAATTTCGAGCTCGAAGAGAGCTCCGCTCGACTCGTCAACACGTCGAGTTGCTCGTGGAGGTGACGGAGCACGCTCATCTCGACGGCGGAGCACAAGACAACGACGAACGAGCTTGGTACAACGGACGTGATGACGAGCTCGGGACGATGGATCTAGACCGCCGAGCCTTGGGATGACGATGAACAAGCCAAGGAGAACCGATCTCGACGACGGACGTGACAACAAACTAGGGACGGACCTCGATAGCGGAGCTCAGGACTGAACTAGACTACCCGCTCGACATGAGATGAGTCGAGCTCGAGCTCTAGCTCGGTATTTGACAGTTGAGCTTGGGTCGAACACACTCTGACTCGACTCATGTACACCCCTACCATCAATAGAGAGATTGTGGGAGAATTAATATTAGGTAGTGATTGTGGGGACCAGGGCAGAAAATATGGGGCTGCAAGGATTGCATTTTGATGATTTTTATTTAAATATATCATAGCATTGACTAGACAGATCAAAAAAAGGGTATAGATGTGTATGTGTAATGGCTCTAGTTTCGAGATCTTGTGATGGTCACACACAATCATACTATTTAACATGATAAAAATATTCAAGAATCCACGAGACATCTATTATCCTCATGCACCTATCATGTTAGTGCTGGTGTATATATTATGAGGTTGTAGGGCTATGTAGTTGGATATTATTTGAATTTTGCTTATAATTAACTTATTAAAATGCAATAATATATATATATATATAGCACGTGCTAATAATTTTGTGTGGCCAATCACTAAAGATTAGAATAATTACAAAATATGCTAAAACCAAAAGAAAAAAAAATTATTTTAGAATATTCTTATATAAATCATGTTAGAATTATTTTATTAAGTTTATAATAGCATTCTTAGCAAAACTATCATACTCATTAACTTTACACATTCTTTTTACAAATAAGTGATTGAGATTGAGATATGTTTCTATATTTATACTTATCTACCATTGAGATGAAGTGGTGGGCGGCATGTGCTTGGAGCACGTTCTGCGAAGTATTGAAGGTTTGGGCTATGTAGGACGTTCAATGGCAAGGAATTCATTCGAATGTGAGGGATTTGATTGGAAAACAAGTACTTGAATAATTCTTACCAATGAGTAAATT